CCTTCCTTCCTTCCTTCCTTCCTTCCTTCCTTCCTTCCTTCCTTCCTCCCCCCTCTCTCTCTTTTATTTCTTCCTTCATTTCTTTCCTTTCTTCTTTCCTTCTTCTTTTCCGTCCTTCCTTCATCTTTTCCTCCCTCCCTCCCTTGTTCAGTGAAAGCAACCATGAACAGATGCGGGTGGGGGATCGTTTTTCCAAGCGGCCGAGTGCCGCAAAGGAGCTTGTCGGTCCAGAGAGGAGGCAGGAGGAAACACCCTCCCCCCGATCTGGGTTTGGTCCTTAGGGAAGGGGGGGGGTGTTCCTGCCTCCGAGGGGTGAGCCCTTCTTCTCCGCATCTGGGCTGGCTGGGGTGTGTGTGTATGTGTGTGTGTGTCTCTGCTGCTGCAGGGCCTGAGGCGGCTCCCCCTCCCGCCTTGCAGGAGCGCCATCTGTGGCCCCAATGCCATCGAGATCGAAATCCGCCCCGTCTGGAAGCTGCTCTTCAAAGAGGTGACCAGCCTTGGGGGGACCCTGCTAAGGAGCCTGGGGGGTCTTGGGCACAAAGCCTGACCCCTTTTTTCTGGGAGGTCTCAGGCAGAGACGAAGAGGGGGAGGGGCAGAGGGGGGCAACCGAAGGGGCTTCTCCTTCTCTCTGGGAGGCAGGGAGCACCAGGTCTTCTTCCCCCAAACCCCGGCTCTCCCCCCGGAGCTGGAGAGGGAGGGCGGGGCCTGCTGCTTGGGGTGCCAAAGGGCAGCTCTGGGTCCCCAGGAACAGAGCCATCTCAGCCGGGGGCCCTGGGCAGCAGCCGCCGGGGGCTTCCTAGAAGCTCCCTCCTGGCAGGGAGGCCGGAGGTGGAGATGGCTAGGGGCATTGGGGGGTTGGCGCAGGGCTGGCTGGCTGCTGCTCCGGGTGCAAGTCAGACCTGGTGTGCAGAGCCACCGGTGCCCTGGGGAGGCCATGGGTGACTTGAGGAGGCCCCCCAACCTCCTGGCTGCTGCTGCTGCGGCTGCTCTCCCAGCGGGCGGTTGCTGCAAGGCGGAGGCTCCGTGGGTGCTTTGAGGGTGCCCCACCGCTGCCCTGGCACCCCACCCGTGTCCTCTGCCGGCAGATCCTGAACCCCTTCTACGTCTTCCAAGCCTTCACCCTGACCCTCTGGTACACCCAAGGCTACGTCGAGTATTCCTCGGCCATCGTCCTCCTCTCCGTCATCTCCATCGGCCTCACCGTCTACGACCTCCGGCAGGTGAGTTCCTCTCTGCCCCCCACCCCGTTCATTTCGCTTGTCCAATCAACGGCTTCCCTTCCTCCGGAGCCTCCAGGCAAGACGGGCAACGACCCTGTGAGGGAGGCCAGGGAGAGGGAGGGGCCGGTCAGTCCCTCCCCTGGGGCTTTCTTCAGAGGCGGAGTGACCTGCTCAGGGGCTGCAACGCTGCCTTCTCCCCTTGGGGGTCTTTCTGCTTTCCCCACAAGGGCCTAGCAGCATCTTCTCCCGCCTGTTTTTTTCAGGGGGGGGGGCATTTTGCATTCTTGCCTTAGCTCACTTCCCCCAACTTGCTCTGGGGAGGGGGCTGTTCCTGGTGTGGATAGCTGAGAGACCCACCCTCTGTCCCCCCCAGGGCCTCTGGGACAGGCCCAGGAGCCCCTGAGAGCCAGTGTCCTCCCCCTGCCCCGAGTTTGGCTGGGGATGAGAGGGGGAGTCTGCCCCCTTCCGTGGCTGCCTTGCTGGGGGGCTGGAGGGGCAGAGAGACGGATGAAATTTGGCCAACCCCTCCAGGGCCTGGAACCAGCCTTCTCTTGCCCCAGGGGGTGGGGGTGGGGGGGTCAGGGAAGAAAGAGGCAGCCAGCCCTTTGACCTTCTCCCCTCCTTGCCCCTCCCCCCCAGCAATCCATCAAGCTGCACAACCTGGTGAAGGAGCACAACCAGGTGCAGGTGACCGTCTGGACAAAAGGAGAAGGTGGGTGTGATGACCCCCCCCGCCCTATCCCTGCCCAGCCCTTTGTGATGACTGCTGGTCCTGGGGGGGGGCTCCCCCGGTGACTCCCTGGCCCCCCCAAGAGCCTGCCATGCAGGCAGAGCGCCTCCTTCCAGGTGGCCAAGAAAGACCCCCCAGCCGTTTCCTTCCCCAACCGGAGCCCCCCGCCTCTCCTGCTGGAAGACCCCGAGGGGAGCGAGGCTTTCGGTCCAGGGCTGCATCCCCCCTCTCTTTCTCCCCCTGGCCAGGCAGTTCCACCGTGGAGTCCCGTCACTTGGTCCCCGGGGACCTCCTCCTCCTGGAAGGCCAGCGGTTCTCCCTGCCCTGCGACGCCATCCTGCTGGAGGGGAGCTGCGTGGTCAACGAGGGGCTGCTCACAGGTACAAGCCGGCCGTGCGTCTGGGGGGGCTCTGCTCCCCGCACAGCCTGTGGGTCTGGTGGGCGGAGGAGGGAGCCTGGCAGGACCCCCAGAGGTCCTCTCTCCAAAGGCAGCTGGGCTTTCTTAGTTTCTTTCTTGAAAACATTTCGCTTCTCACCCAGGAAGCAGCTTCTTTGGTTCTAGGACTAGCTCAGAACTGAAGAAGCTTCTTGGATGAGAAGTGAAACGTCTTCAAAGAATTACCCAAGGAAGCCCAGTTGCCTGAAGCACCTTTGGGGCGACCGTGGCCTGGAGGACGGGGAGTCTCCACAGATGTTGACTCTCGTGGGACGGACACCGGGCGAGTCAGACGCATAGGCCCACGCTGTGCGGGCTGGAGGTCTCGGGATGGGAAGGGCTTGCACCCAGGGCCCACTGGGCAGCCGCGGCTAATCCACCGTGAGAACGTTTCCCCCCCCCCCGCCCCCCTGCCGCCCCCCTTGCAAGCTCCTTCGGCCCGGGGACATCCTTCCGTGGAGCTTCTAAGCTTCCTCTTGGAATGGATGGATGGATGGATGGATGGATGGATGGATTCTTTATTGGCCGAGTGTGATTAGACCCGCAAGGACTGTGTCTTGGTGCATTTGCTCGGAGACCCACCTGCGGAGAGGGGCAACCAGAGCCAGGACGGCCTGCCCTCTCCCCCCAACCTGCGGCTCTGGTGGGCAGAGCAGGCAGTCCTGTTTCACGTCTCTTTCCACACTGGCACGGAGGGAGGGGCTTCTCTCCGGCCCCCTTCGCCTGGATCAGACTTCAGCTTGGTAGCTTCCTTGGGGCAGCTGCTGGTACCTTTCCACGCCCCCTGGGGTCCCTATTGGGGAGGGGCCCTGAAGGGTGTGGCTTTCCCGTGGCCTTTAGGTGAGAGCGTTCCCGTCTCCAAGACCCCCCTGCCTCACTCGGACAACACCCTGCCCTGGAAGGCGTACGGGAGGGGCGATCATCAGAGACACGTCCTCTTCTGTGGCACGGAGGTGATCCAGACCAGGCGGGCAGGGCCAGGGCCGGTCCGGGCGGTTGTGCTGCAAACAGGTGAGTGCAGAACCAGCTGCTTGGCCGCGTTCCTTGGACAGGGCACAGGTGGTGGTGGTGGTGGGCCCTGGTAGCCGCCTGTGGGCATATGTGGGGACGGGGAGAAGCAGCCGTCCCCCCACCAGATGGAGGGAAACTCCACGCTCAACCCTGAGCGTGTCAGTAGGGCCCTCCTGGGCAGTTATGGCAACTTTATGACCTGGGGGCTTCTGGAAATTCTGGGAGTTGAAGTCCACAGCTTGTCAAGTTGCCATAGTGAAGCCGAGTGAGAGATTCCTGGACTTCAGAACCAGCACAAGGAGAGTTATGGCCTTTTACACCCTCAGCATTCCCGATTGCAGATCCGGCCTTGGAGTTCTCAGGTAGACAGGAAGCAAAATCGTGACTCTGACGCTTAGTTTCTCGATGAAGTCCGATCCCTACAAATCCAGAACTCTTAACACTTTTCAGTTAAGGAGCAAGTTGGATATGGGGCACCTGATATTTTTTTAACCATCCAGTCTGTACCTGACCCCTCCAACCTGTTGGCCAATCATTTCCAGACTTTGGCCGCCCACCCTGCCTCCAACGCCCCCCACCCCCCCAGCCCCCTTTCCAGAAGTGGTTCTCCAATTTCTTCTTGAAAGCCTCCAGTGCTGGAGCTTCTGGTGGCAAGCGGTTCCACTGGTGAATTGTTCCCACTGCCAGGGAGTTTCTCCTTAATTCCAGGTGGGTAGACCACACCTGGGATATTTGCATCCAGTTTGGGCTGCCACGATGTAAAAAAGAGGTTGAGACTCTGGAAAGAGGGCAGAGAAGAGCAACCAGGAGGATTTTAGGGGCCTGGAGGCTCCAAAGAGTAAGAAGAATTCCAGGGGCCGGAATTGGGCAGGTCCAGTCTGATGAAAAGAAGGACTGGAGGAGAACAGCAGTCTTCCAACGTCAGGCCCAAAACACCCGAAGGCAGGAGAAGAAGCAACGGATGGAAACTCATCAAAGAGAGAAGCAACTTAGAATTAGGGTGGAATTTCCCGACAGCGAGGACCATGAGCCCGTGGAACAGCCTGCCACCAGAAGCTGGGAGTGCTCCGTCACTGGAGGCTTTCAAGAAGAGATTGTGCCACCGTTTGTCTGGGATGGTTCAGGGTCTCCTGCCTGAGGAGCCGGTTGGACTAGAAGACCTCCAAGGTCCCTTCCAACTCTGCCGCTCTGTCCCTCCCCTGGGGGGGCTGCCTCTTTCCCTGCAGGCTTCAACACCGCCAAGGGGGACCTGGTGAGGTCCATCCTGTACCCGAAGCCCCTGAACTTCCGGCTCTACCAGCAGGCCTTCCACTTCATCCTGGGGCTGGCTGGGGTTGGCGTCCTGGGGATGATCTACGCCGTCTGTGTGTACGTGATGCAGAAGGTGGGTCCCAGGAGCAGAACCCCCACCCCCGCCCCTTGGCACTGCCCATCATCCCCTCCCCCCGAGGAGGGCCGCCTTCCTGGGGAGGGGAGAGCTGTGGCCCCTGGAGGGGCCCCCTGGCTGGCTCTGCCCGCCCCACCCACCTGGTGTCCTTCCCCAGCAACCGGCCTCGGACACAGTGGCCATGGCGCTACTGCTGCTGACGGTGCCCGTGCCCCCCGTCATCCCGGCGGCCCTGACCACCAGCATCGTCTACGCCCAGCGGAGGCTGGCCAGGAAGAGGATCTTCTGCATCAGCCCCCAGAGGATCAACCTCTGCGGCCAGATCAACCTGGTCTGCTTCGACAAGGTGGGCCGGGGGGCCGGGGTGGTGCAGGGCACGGGAAGCTCCCCTGTGGGAAGCTGGCTGGCTCTTGGCCCGACCGACGTCCTCCGGACGGCTGACCTCGGCAAATAACCGAGAGGGGTCCCCAGAAGTGGTGGGTGGTCCATCACTGTAGATTTCTGAGAAGAGACGGGACAACCTTTTGTCTGGAGGGGTATGTAGGGTCTCCTGCCTGGGACCAGGGGGCTGGACTAGAAGACCTCCGAGGCCCCTTCCAGCTCTGTTGTTCCGTCATCCAGATGAATTAACCAGTGGAACAGCTTCTCTCCGGGGGGGGGTGCTCCCTCCGTGGAGGTCTACAAGAAGAGACTGGACGGCCATTGGCCTGAAACAGTCTAGGGTCTCCTGCTTGAGCGGGGGGTTGGACCAGATGACCTCCGAGGCCCCTTCCAGCTCCGCCTTTCCCTTCCACCCTGCAGGATTCTCTTTTCTTCAGAGCTGCTCCCCCTGTGAGAAAAGCCCCCCCACCTCCCCGGTCCTGTGTTTCCACTCACAAGTGGAAATATTCCTCAACGTTCAACCGGGGACAGGCGTATGTTTAATGTTGGCTTTATTCACGGGCACATTTTTCTTTACAATTTCTTCTTCTCCTTGTTGTGTTTCTAACTTTGTCCTTTGTCCTTTCTGTTTTTCTGTTCTTGTCCTTTCTAATATTTTACCTTCCAAAGAAATAAAATAAAATATTAGAGCCAAACCCAATAGAGGGGCAGCTGGGCCTGCAGCCGACCCTTACTGGGGTCTAATCCTGGCCCTCTCTTGAACCCAGACAGGCACCCTGACCGAGGACGGGCTGGACCTCTGGGGCGCCCTTCCCTGCCAAAGCCAGAGGTAAGGAGTGCGGGGGGGGGCATCTGACCCCGGAGGGAAGGAGGCTGATGAGGGGGAGGCTGCTGGGGGTCCCTGGGAGCTGGGAACTGGCAACGTCGGCCGCCGCTGCCCCCTGTGCCGCTCCCTTCCTTGCTCCTGCCAGGCGATGCAGGCTGGCCTCCCCCTGCCGGCTGCCCGAGAGGAGAGGGTGGGTGGTGGCCGGGCTCACCTCTGCCCAGGGAGTCCGCCGGGAAACTGCCCTCCAAAGGAGCCCCCACTCACCCCCACCTGCCCCTCAGCTTCCAGAGCGTGCACAGCTTCTCGGGGGCCCCCTTGCCCTGGGGCCCCTTCTGCAGAGCCATGGCGACGTGCCATTCGCTTTTGCTGCTGGACGGGAAGGTCCAGGGGGACCCACTGGACCTGAAGATGTTCCAGGGCACAAACTGGGTGAGCCTCCCTCCCCTCCGGCGGCTTCGGACAGGCCGGCCGTTCTCCTGCCCCTTGTGTGTATGTGTGGGGGAGTTTTGGGGAGGGGTAGAAGCTGCCCCCCCCTCCTCCTCCAGCATCCTCCCTTCTGCCCCAGCGGCTGCTGGGAGCCCCTCCAGTGGCATTCCTGCTGGTGCCACCCATCGGCATGTTTCGGGGTGGCACAGAGAGGTTGGCAAGGCAGCCAATCTCCCCTTTGCAGGCTCCCTGCAGAGCGGGAAAAGCGGATATGGGACGGGAAGAGGCTTCCCAGGAAGGGAGGGAGGGAGTCCCCAAACCTTTCCCCCCCCCAGGGGGGTTTCTTGGCTGGCCCAATTCCTCTGGGGCATCCCGTGGACCCATCCCTTGACAGCCAAGGGCAGGCCCTGCACTCCAGCTCAGCTCTGAGGATGGGAAAGGCAGCCGGGGAGACCCGCGGCCCTGAGGATGCTCCCCAGTTGGATAATACCCCTCTGCAGGGAAACCACCACACTCCGAGAGCCAATCCCGCCGCCCTTCCAGCACTGATGATGTTGCCTAGTTGGGTCATGAAATGTCTGGGAGGCTCAACTAAGGGAAGCCCAGCCAATCTCATGCTACGTAGGTTGTGCACTGACAATAAAGGTTTGCATTGGAAGAAAACCTCCTCCTCCCCCTCCTCCTCCTCCTCCTCCTCCTCCTATCTTCTAGCACTGATGATGTTACCTAGTCAGGTCATGAAATGTCTGGAAGGCAGGCTGTCAACCTCGCAGGCACCCAGGAACCCCCAGTTCAATATTCTCTTCTCTTGGCACAAACCCTTTTATTCTCGCCGGGGGTGGGATAGAGAACGGAGGGGGGTGGGGGGCTGCCAGGGTGGCCCAGCTCCTGGCTCCGGTGCCTGAGTGTTTCTCAGCCCTCTGGATCTGTAAGTTCTCAGGGACCTTCCGGGAACCAACGTGGTCCCACGTTCCGGCTTTCTCCAGAAAGCTCCTCCGTTCAAGGTGAATTCCAAACCCAACGGAAGTCGCTCTGGGTTGTTTGGGGGGATTCCGGACCCTCCGACATCAGAAGCAGGTGGAGGCTTTGCTCGCTGTGTTTCTGGCTGGCACAGAGTGGGCTGCCTGCCTTCTGCATTTCATGCCCCGGGCTAAGGAAGAGGGCAGCCTGCCAAATTCAAGAGAAAGGCCGCCCTTCAGGGCTGACGTTGACGTGCTCGGCCCTGGGCCACGCCCGAGTCTAAGGGGCCCCTGGATGAACCCCAGGAGGTGCTTCTCTGCTGGCTTGCAATGCGCTAGTTTGAGTGAAGGGCTGGTTTGGTCTCTGCCGGCTTCCTTCTGGGGCCGTTTGTTTCCTTGCCTCTCCCTTTCTTTCCCCCTCTCCTCCCCCCTCTCTGAAGAACTGAAGAAGCTTCTTGGATGAGAAGCAAAGTGCTTTCAAATTAAAAAAAACAAACAAACAAGGAAAGTCCAGCTGCCTTCTGGAAAGGGACCCTTGGGGCGATTTGAGGTTGGGGCATAATCGAAGTCACCACTGGTAACACGCCGCCTCCTAACCCAATGGCAGCCCCCCGTCCCCCCCCCGTCCCCAGGCCGAAGCCTTAGTCTTCAGTCCTAACTGGACCCTTTCCGGAAGCAGAGCCGAATTCGCGCTTCCGGCCCACCCCAGAGGCAGGCGCCCCCCTGGCAGGCAGCCCCCAGGGCTCCTTCTAAGGCTCCTGGATCTTTTTCTCCCACCAGGAGATGGAAGAGCACCGGCCGGACAAGAGCAGCGCCAGCCTCCCGGAGTCCTGCCTCCTGGTGAAACCGGGCCCCGGCGCCTCCCCGGTAAGCCAGTTCTCAGCACCCCCACCCCCCCTTGTCCCCCCAGAAAGTGAGGCAGGCAAATGAAAATGGCCGCGGGGCTCCTGCTGGAGGAGGAGGTTGGACTAGAAGACCTCCCAGGGGCCTTCCAGCTCTGTTCTGATTGATTGATTGACTGGTGGAAAACCAGGGAGGGGTGGAGGGAATTATCTGGCCAGGAAAGAAAATCTAAGCTCGCAACAAACCAGCCAGAATGGATTTCCACCCAGTACAGCCAGGGAAGAAAAAGGCCTGAGCGTCGGAGGAGCAATGGCGGCCCTCCGATTGATTCCTTCTACGGATGGAAGCCAGCAGTTGGGAGCAGCCCCCCCTCCCCCCCCCGTTGGGGAGGGTCTCTGCTCAGGTCATCGGGGGTTAGAAGGGAACCGGGAGGCAGGCTGGCAGCGGAGCCCCCTGGGCCCTCCCGTGCTGGCAGCCAAGGGACGGGACTCAGAGGGGGCAGAGCCCCCCACCCCCCGCATCGGATCCCCCAGCCCATAATAGTTCTGTCTTCTCCTGCCGAAGGCCGGGTGGGGGAGAGCGGAGCAGCCGCATACAGGGCAGCGGCCCTTCCTCCAATGGACGTCCACGGGGACGATGACACTGTCAAAAGTTACTGGGTTTCACTCTTATGATCGCTGCAGCATCTTTGTGGGCACGTGACCAAACTCTGAGCGCTCGGCAGCTGCCCTGTGCTTGTGCCTGTTGCCTTGTCCCAGGGTCAGGTCATCGTCTCTTGCCACCTTCCAGTAAGCAGACCATGGGGGAAGCTGGATTCACTTAACGGCTGCCAGATTCACTTAAGAACTGTTGCAAGAGAGGGCGTAAAATGAGGGCAAAAGTCACCCAGCAACGGCTTTGCACAGCCACAGAGATTTTGGGGGCCAATTGTGGACGTAAGTCAAGGACTGACTGTATTAGTGACTGCAGCCCCAAATTATCCTACGGGGGCCATGAGCAACGAGGCTGGCAGTGCCCCCCCCCAGTCCCAGGTGCCCCCTGTGCCCCCTTCTGAAACTCCTGGGGCTCCTCTGGCCCCGGACTCTCCCGCCAGAGCAAGTCAGCGGCTGTTGGAGGAGGCACCAACACCCCAGGGAGGCCCAGGAGAAAGGAGTATCCCTAGAATAAGAGAGTTGGGAGGGTCCTTGGAGGTCATCTAGCCCAACCCCCCTGCTGGAGCAGGGGAACCTATTCCTTCATGGCTCTCCCAGGAGGGCCACCCCCTGCTTCTTCCTTCCTCCAGACCAGAGCCACTTTGGAACTGGACTTAACCCGAATGCCCCCCCTCTTCCACGAGGGCCCCGTCAGGTCCTGAGCTTCGCTCACACCCAGCTGTGGAAGTCCAGCCTTCTTTTCAGGAGAGGCTTGTGCAGGGGGTTGGACTAGAAGACCTCCAAGGCCCCTTCCAACTCAGTTACTCTGTTTACAATAGACGCTTGATGAAACCATAGCCGTAAGGGCAGTTGGCTCCTTTCTTCGCCTCAAACAAGCCTTTGTTCTGCTTGTCATCCCACCCTGGGAAACGGATGGGCAGCCGGTGGAAGTGAAGCCTCGGCCTGTGTTGTAATGACGAGGCAGTCGAGGTGTTTGATCATGAACAACTGAATCATGATGGACTTTATTGGAGTCTAGTCTTGCATTTATACACATTTTTAATTATCCTCCATCACTGGTTAACTTCAGTTACTGCTGAACTTTCGTTACTGTTTAGCATAATAGTAATCAACACAATTAATTATCTCTAGTTAAAGCCTAACATATGTTGACTTCCTCTCTCTAATCCTCCTTTAGATGAGTGACTTTGTTTACCCGAGTTGTATTTGCTTGGAAACCTTCTTTTATCGGAGGTTTGCCATCCGAGATAGGAACATTCCTGCAATTACAACTCTACAGGCCTGTCCTGGTGTCCCTCTTCACGGGAACGGGAGTCACGGATGCTTATGGAACACGACTTTTACGGCGCATAAGTTGCAGGAACAGGATCTTGCAAGCCCTCAGTTCAAGAGAACTAGGAAGAGTCAAATCTGAGACATGTTCTTTTGTAAGAGCGTTGCCTGGGTGATGACTTATGTAACATTAACGTTGGAAGGGACCCTGGAGGTCTTCTAGTCCAGCCTCAACCAAGAGACCCTACACCATTCCAGGCAAATGGCTCTTCTTAAAAGCCTCCAGTGACGGAGCGGCCACAATGTCTGTTCCCCGGGTGGATTGTGCTCCCCGTCGGCAACGGTTTCTCCTTAGTTCTGCTCCCCTCCTCTGATGCGTTCTGTTCTCCTCCTCCTCCTCCTCCTCCTGCCTTCTGGGGCTTTGGAGAAGGACTGGACCCCTCCCCGCTTCTGTTCCCGGGGGTGATTCCTGCGCCTGCCTTCTCCCCCCTGCCCAGGCCCCCGTGGAAGGGATCCTCGTCCTGCACCAGTTCCCCTTTTCCTCCTCCTTGCTGAGAATGTCGGTCATCACCCAGGAACTTGGGAAGAGCGGCTTGGAGCTCTGCATGAAGGGAGCCCCCGAGACGGTGGCCGGCTTTTGTGAAGAGGCGACGGGTAAGCGAAGAAGAACCAGCAGCCTCAGGTCGGGGGGGGGGGCGGGATCCCCCCACCCACCTGCTAGTCAAGGAACAGGTTCCTCTCGGCAGACCCACGGGGATCATCTTAGCACTCCTGCAGGCCACGTTTGGGGGTGGAGTTTTGGAGTGGACAGTGTGTGTGTGTGTGTGTGTGTGTGTGTGCGGCAGCCTTGGGGGTGCAGTTAGCCATAGCAGTAGCCCTTAGACTTATATGCCACTTTCCAGCCCTCTCTAAGTGGTTTACAGAGTCAGGAAGGAAAGAAAGAAAGAAGGAACAGCAACAGCACTTATATATTACTTAATAGTGCTTAAACAGCCTCTCTAAGTGCTTTTACAGAGTCAGCCTTCCCCCCCAAATAATCTGGGTCCTCATTTTACCGACCTCAGAAGGACGGAAGACTGAGTCAACCCGGAGCTTCCTCAGGATCGAACTCCTGCCTGTGAACAGAGTCAGCCTGCAGTGCTGCATTCGAACCCCTGGACCACCAGGCTTCAGCAGTTCCCCTTCACCCCAAACTGCAGCCCCCGCTGGGCCCCGTCTCTCGACCTCAGCCGCCAGGAGGGAGGAGGGTGTGCCTGGGAGCCCTGCGGCTGGGGGTGAAGTCACGAGAGAGAGAGAGAAGCCAGGGGGTTGGGTCGGGGGGGGCAGACCCCAACCTTCCCCCTCTGTGTTCCTGGGAGGCCATTCAGACCAGCGGAAGTGGTCGCAAGAAGGGAGTCCTCATCTCCCTAACGCCCCCCTGCCCTTAACGGCATGTTTTTTATTTATTTATTTGATTTATTTTATTTGGTTTATCAATTACTTACAAGATAATAGGTGTAAGTAAAACCATAGTTATGAATACATGGATACAGAAAAGAATCAGAAAAGAAACCATAGGACAGGGACGGTAGGCACGTTGGTGCGCTTATGCATGCTCCCCTACAGGCCTTTGTTGCACGAGATCATGTTCTGCCTTCTTCTGGAGGCTCTTGTGCAGCTGTCTGAGTTGCTTCCTTGGGCAAATGGGAAAGTGGTTTTTTTAATTTACTTTATTTATTTATAATTTTTTTGGGCTGCCCATCTTACTCTGGGTGGCTTACAGTCACAAAACACAAACCCGTACAAAGATAAAGGCCTAAATAAAATAAAATAGCCAAACACAGTGGTCCAATTAAAGATGGGGAGGGGGGATTGGTTAATCCATCAACCCCCTCCCCCGTTCAGTGGCTTATTCGGGGCAAGTGTGACCTTCCTGAGCTTTTCGGATGCCCCACGGAGGGTCCATTGCTCCACCGGCAGCTTTCCCATAGTTGCTGACTGGACCCCACGGTAGCCGGGAGAGTCCGCTCCCTCGGGGGTTGCCTTCCTCCAGCGCCGGTGGGGCCACTTGCCCAGGATCTGAGAAAGGAGGGCTGGACCAGGTCCAGGCCCAGTTTGAGACTCCGTGAAGGTTGAAAATCCAAGACTGATGGGCCGAACATCCGGGCCCCGATTCCTGCCTGGTCGGTGGGGATGGAGGAAGATTGACCGGCTGCTCCGGGGCAGAGAGTCCAGGCGTGGCTGTGGATGGTGCGGCTGCTCTGCCTCGCCCAGGGTTGCTGATCCCATTTGAAAGCAGGGAAGGGGTCCCAGCACGTTGGGCGACCCTCTTCCCCCCACTGACCGCAGCCTCCCCCCCACCCCCCCAGTTCCGAACATCTTCCAAGCTGAGCTGAGACGCTTTACGGCTCAGGGCTTCCGCGTCATCGGCCTGGCCCACAAGGAGCTCCAGCTCCCCCAAGGAGCCGCCTTCAGTGACCTGGAGAGGTGAGCAGCTGCAGCCCCCCCCCTGACCTCCTCTCTGACAGGGGGACCCAGGAGGAGTAGGGCAAGGCCCCGCTCTCCGGCTCGTATCCTCCCAGCTTCTCCAGATCGTAGCTCTGTCCCAGGCAGCTGGAGAGGGAGAGCAGGACCTAGAAGCCGGCCTCTCGGGGTTCAAAGGGGCCTTGGAGGTCTTCCAGTCCAGGAGACCTTGCGGCACCGGGTTCTGGACAAATGGTTGCCCAGCCTCTTCTTGGAGCCCTCCAGGGTGGGCGGGGAGAAGGAAATGCTTGCACATCTCTCAGTCCCAGCACACACCATGCCCCCCCACCGAGCCACCTCTGGAGCTCACATGCGCACCTCCCACCCCGTTATATCCTGCGTATATTCCTCTCTCTTGTCATGGGGGGCGCTGAGTTTCCTTTCCTTCAAAGAGAAAGGCCCCCAAACAGGGCCCGCTCCAGGGAGGCCCATGGAGGACAAGGAGCCAGGGGGACGGCTTTTGCCCCCAGAGATTGTGGCTGCTCCATCGCAGGAGGCTTTCGAGAAGAGACGGGTGGCCATTAAATGGTAAAGGCTCTCCTGCTTGGGCAAGGGGTTCGACTAGAAGACCTCTGAGGTCCCTTCCAACTCTGCTCTTCTGCACGCTGTCTTCGGTGAGTGAAGGACAACCCTCATCGACTCTTCCCTGCCTCTCCTTCTCACAGGGAGGAGCTGGAGTCTGGCCTGACCTTCCTGGGCCTGCTGGTCATGGAGAACCGCCTGAAGAGCGAGACCCGGCCGGTCCTGCAGGAGCTCCGCCAGGCCCGCATCCGGAGCGTGATGGTCACAGGTGTGCTGGGAGGGGGAGCCTTCAGCTGGAGGGGGAGCGGGGAGTGGGGGGGGCTCAGCCCTTGCACAGCAGCTGAGGGGCCCTCCGGGATTGTCCAAGTCATCGTCCAGAGTGGTTCTCACTTGTCCCACTTGCCTTCTGGGTCAGGAACTGGGAGAGGCAGCCGGGCTCTTCTCAGGTGGCAGGTTTCCCAGGGATCCCTTCCCCCATTCCAGGGGCTGCTTTGAACTGCCCACTAGCCAGGTCTTCTCTCCTCCGCTCCCAATTCCCCCCCCACCCTTTTTCCTTTCCTCCTTTAACAGCTTCAGTTTTATTTTATTTATTTCTTTTATTTTGTCAAGCGATTAGTTATGAATCTATGAAATGGATACATATGAGAAAAATAAAAAGAAATAGGACAGGGACAGTAGGCACGTTGGTGCACTTATGCACGCCCCCTACAGACCTCTTAGGAAGAGGGGAGGTTAATAGTAGACAGTCTAAGGTTAAAGTTTTGGGGGTCTGGGGAAGAAACCACAGAGTCAGGTAGAGGATTCCAGGCATTGACCACTCTGTGGCTGAAGTCGTATTTCCTGCAATCAAGTTTGGTGCGGTTAACCTTGAGTTTGTATCTATTGTTTGCTCTTGTGTTGTTATGGTTGAAGCTGAAGTATTCATGGACAGGTTGGACATTGCAATGTATGATTTTATGTACTATACTTAGATCGGACCGAAGATGGTGTAGTTCTAGATTTTCTAGGTCTAGAATTTCAAGTCTGGTGGCATAAGGTATTCTGCAATGAGTAGAGGAGAACTCTCCTTGTGAAATATTTCTGGACTTTCTCAATTGTGTTAATATCAGATACGTAATGTGGGTTCCAGACTGATGAGCTGTATTCAAGTATAGGTCTAGCAAATGTTTTGTATGCTCTAGTTAGTAGTGTGATATTACCAGAGAAAAAGCTATGCAGGATTAGGTTAACAACTCTTAACACCTTTTTGGCTATGTAGTTACAATGGTCTCTAGCACTTAGATCATTAGAGATGAGAACTCCAAGGTCCTTGACAGAGTTTGGATCCTCAACAAGGTCTTGACATTCAGCTTGTATTTTATTTTTTGATTTTTTTGCCAACATGTAAGACAGAGCATCTATTTCTTGAGATTTGAAGTTGCCATTTGTTTGACCATTCTGATAAGTAGTCAAGGTCTTTTTGGAGGTAGCAGTATTGTCTGTGGTGTTGAATAGCTTTACATCGTCAGCGAAGAGAACGCAGTTGCTCTTGATATGATCACAGAGGTCATTTATGTAGCGTATGAAGAGAGTTGGTCCTAGAACATTGCCTTGGAGTTCCAGAAGTGCCTCCTAGACTTTCCCCATGTTCCTTGACTTCCAAAACCGGAAGTGAAGCTCTCAGGATCATGGGTGTGTGTGTGTGAGTGTGGGGGTGTGTGTCTCTGAAGCCACAGTGGGAAGGGGCTGCTCTGGACCCTCCCAGATCTCTTCTGACCTGGGCTGCCAGGGAGAAACGCTGGAATCTTGGCCCATGTTTAGATATTTGGGCTCCAACCTCCTGGTTATTTTAAAGAAGATCCGGACTTTTGGGAGAGTCCTCGGCCCTTCTCTAAACTTGGTTGTTGGTTGCAGCACAGATGATGTTGCTTAATTTGGGTCATGAAACATCTGCAAGGAAACAACCAAGCTCATAGACCACCAAGGACCTCACAATTCTCCTTCTCCTCCCTCACTCCCTTTTAACACAGATGGCGTTCCCTAGTTTGGGTCATGAAATATCTGCAAGGAAACCATCAGACTCAGAAAGTATCAAGCAGGGTGGGATGCTACCGGTTCGAGCCGGTTCTATAGAATCGGTAGCTCTGAAGAGCACCTGACACCAAACTGGTTCGCTGCGACGACCTTCTGCTCATCTGTTTGGCCCACCTGCCCGCCCGGGCTCTTACCTGTCCTTTATTTCCTGCTTTTTCAACCTCAGCTGCTTTGTGCGGCGCACCTCAGGTTGAAAAAGCGGGAAAGGCGCTTCAAATGCGGCACCTGTCAGCTGTCCAGGCGGCACAGCTGATGGTTTTTGCAAATGCTGTACACGCAGGTGCAAAGCGCACTCTCACCGAGCCAGTAGTAACACCGGTTGAATCCCACCGCTGGCACCCAGGAGCCTTCACTTCAAGCCTGCGCTGCAAATATTCTCCTTTATTGGTGGTTGAGCGATGCTGGGCCCCTGGGAGAGTTGGCCTGTTGAGCTCCAGATGTGGTGATCAGCGTGTCTCCTTTTGAGGGCTGCCCCCTCACCTCAGCCTCGCTTGTCCCCAGGCGACAACCTCCAGACGGCCATCACTGTGGCCAAGAGCTCTGGGATGCTTCCCAGCACCAGCCAGGTGGTCCTGGTGGAGGCCCAGGAACTGGGGGATTCCTGCCCAGCATCTGTGACTTGGCAGCTGGTGGAGGAGGAGGAGGAGGCGGCGCCCTTCATCATGGGCAAAGACCAGGTAGGGCAGCTGCCCAGAGGAGAGGTGGCCCAGGAAGGTGAGCAGGAAGGGCCTGGAAGAAGAGGAGGAGGAGGAGGAGGGCCTTGGTCTGGATTGTTTGTGGGCCAGGAGAGGGCCAGGCTGGCCACGTTCCTCATCACCTCCTCAGGAGAAGACCACGTTGGTCCTTCATAGATTCAAACTGGAGGGTGTCAGGTGCCAAACCCAAGAAAGGCCCGTTATGAGCTTTCTAAGCAGATGTGGTTTTTTTTTAATGGTTCCTCCCCTCTAGACAGAATCTTGCCAGACTAAAGCATTCTAACTTTCCCCTAAGCCAAGGCATGTACTCTGGGAACTGTTAGGGAGGAGCCACTTTCTCCCACACAAATTCTCTGAGTTGTCTCTTGCCCCCGCTCCCTCCTGGGGATCCACCCCATCACTAGATTTCATAACCAGTCCTGCTTTCAGAGGAGGGAGTGGGAGGGGGATGCGGGTCTGCCCCTGTGACATTGGGGGGCAGCAGCTGGCAAGTTGGACCTGGAGGAAGCGGAGAGGAAGTTTCTTTGGCAATCTGGGGACAGTGCAACCATCGTTAACTGGCTCCGTCTCGGTTCCTTTGTTTCCATGGAAACCAAAGCCTGTTTCCCGGGACCCCCATATCCCCCTAGAGGAGCCCAGCGCACAAGAGGAGGGCGGCAACTTCCACTTTGTCTTGAGTGGGGCGTCTTACCAGGTGCTGGCCAAGCACTTTAGCAGCCTCCTGCCCAAGGTGAGCAGGGAGGGGCCCCTCCTCGGGGTGGCTCCCTCGTCTTCTTGGTTTGCTCCCCGACGCGTCCAGGGCCCCCGGCCCCACCTGCCTTCCCGTCCACCCTTTCCGTCCATCTGGGTGACCGTGGCCTCTTTCCTCCCGCAGGTGCTTCTGAACGGGACTGTCTTTGCCCGGATGTCTCCTTTGCAGAAGTCCCACCTCGTGGAAGAGTTCCAGAAACTCGAGTGGGTCCCTCCTCGCGATCCAGGGCGAAGGGGGGAGGGGCTCCCACCTGCCCCCACTGGGGTCCCCCGGCTTAGCTGGCCCTCCGCTTGCAAAGGGCTGCTCCCGATGACCTCTTGGGGACCCTCTTTCCTGACCGGGGCCCCAAAGGGCCGCTGTGAAAGTGTCAGCCGGGACCCAGCCTGCCCGCCTGCCCCAGAAGGAGCCCCAGGTCACAGCAGGGAGGGGCAGGCGAGGGGCAGCAGGCCAGGTGTCCAGCAGAGGAACCCAGAGCCCCCCGGAAGGCCAGAGGGGAGCTGGGGAGGAGCAGGGAGGGGCGGCCCACCCAGGAAAGCAGAGACCTCCTGGGACCCCCAGAAGGGTGGCAGCCCCCTTCTCACTCCGGAGGGAGGGCCTGGGAGGCAGAGGTGGCAGGGAACGCCTGCCGTGGGGGTCTCTGCCCGGGGAGACTAAGTAACCTCCTCCTCCTCCTCCTCCTCCTCCTCCTTCCAGTTACTATGTGGGCATGTGTGGGGACGGAGCCAACGACTGTGGGGTAGGTGAAAACTTCTGGGTCTTATTGGGGGAGGGGAGAATGTTCTCGCTCAGGCTGCCCCTCCACCTGTCCTGTCCCCCCAAACTGGAGCCATCCGGGCAAAACCAGCCTGCGGACGCTGCCCCCTTTCCAGAGGAGGTTTGGAAGCGCCTCCGCTGCCAACCCCGCCATGCCTCACAGGGGGGACCTCCTGTTGTTGTTCCCCAGGCCCTGAAAATGGCCCACGCTGGGATCTCCCTCTCGGAGCAGGAGGCCTCCGTGGCCTCCCCCTTCACCTCCCAAATCCCCAACATCGAGTGTGTGCCGGCCCTGATCAGGTACCCGGGGTCGCCGGAGGGCCTCCCGCTTGAGCAGAGCGGGTTGGAAGGGAATCCAGGGTCCCCTCCAGCCCTGTGTTCCCATCGTCCTGGCCATGGGGTTAGACTAGAGGACCTCCAAGGTCCCTCCCAACCCTGCTCTTGGGTTATTCTGTTATTCCCATGGGGAGGGGGGTGTCTCTTCCTCCAGAGCTGGCTTGGAGCCCCGACCAGCAGAGGAGCCACTGGGTCCCACCGCTTCCTCTCCCGGGTTGCCCTCTGCCTCCCTTCCTCCCTGGGGGGGGGAGTGGGGTGGGGGCTGAGCAAGGGGGCCTCTGCTTTCCTCTACTAACCCTCCCCTCCCCTCCTCTTCCGATGCCAGGGAGGGCCGGGCGTCTCTGGTGGCCTCCTTTGCGGTGTTTAAGTACCTGACGCTCTACGGCTTGGTCCAGTTCATTGCTACTGTCCTGCTTTACTGGGTAGGTATGGGGCGGTGCTGGGGACGAGCCCCAAGGGGGGGGGGGACAGCGGCTTCTAAGTGGGTGAGGACGCAGAGACATCTGGGAGTTGGGCCCTCCTCCTCCTCCTCCTCCTCCTCCTCCCTTCAAGCACGGAGGGCCTTTCCTAGTTGGGTTAGGAGAAATGTCTGCCAGGAAACCCCCAAGCGCAGAGACTCCCGGACGGCTGGACGTTTCCATGCCAGAAAAATACTGGGAGGTTCCAACTTAAAAGGTTACGTGAAACCCGGTCATGAGACACTTTTTTTTCAGTGCTATTGTAACTCTGAACGGTCAGTATCAATGAACTGTTGCAAGTCGAGGACTACCGGTATTCACATCACGTTAAGATAAAAACACAGCGTACGAAATACAAAGTCTGAAGGAGTATAAATGTGTGCCCGAATGACCGTTTTTGGCTTCGTTTGTCAGAGTGAAGAAATCGGCCGAGTCCCCTGTTATGGGCACTCTGACCCGATCGGCTCTTTCTCGGCCCCCCCCGTCCCAATTCCGGGATGGATTTCACCCCCTGCGGTGGCCCACTTCAGGGCAGGGTTGTCCGTATCGCAGGGGGCGGCTGAGATCCCGGGTTTTTTTCTCCTGAGTTTCAAGGCAAACGTGGACACTGGGGGGAGGCATTTTCTCCGCACTGTTGTTCCCGTGTATAGTGCATGTCAAAACCGTCTTCTACAAGCACTTTAGCCCTAGGAAGAGTTGGGGTCTCCAGGCAGGCTACGTCAAGCCACCTCGGCCGCTGGGCATTTCCAGGGACATTGGGGGTGGTCTGTGTTCTCTGAGCAATCCTACTTCTCCACCTTTCAACCCCACCAGCCCAGAGAAACATCAGGATGAGGTTACGCAGCCTGGGGACGAAACGCTCGGAAGCGGGACAGGGAGCCTGGGGAAAACAGCCCCACCCATGTCTCCCACCTATTTCCCATCGTTACCAATAATCTTCAGGGGTTCCCGGAGGGAGGCGGGGCTTTCTCTTACTTTGGGGAGCGGCAGGTGACTCAAAACAGGCGGCCGCTATGTGGGAGTCATTCGAATCTCCCCGTGAAGCTCGATGGGAAAAGCCTGCCTGGCAGCGTCTGTTTCCCTTTCAGCAACTGCAGATCCTGGGGAATTACCAGTTCCTGATCCAGGACATTGGCATCACCCTTGTGGTTTGCCTCACAAGTAAGCAGCTCAGCCCCGGGGGCACAGGGGGCTGCCTTCATGCCGGCTGGGGGTCCGGGGAGGTGCCGCCCAAGGCCCAGGCAGAGCGGCAGGGCAGAGCAGGAGGGGCTGCCCCTACTCCAGCGGCCCCTTCACACAACGGGGGCTTGAAACGGCTTTTCTGGGATGGTTGTGGGCGACCTGGATTCAGCCGTGGGTGTAAGCGCCCCTGGAGGAGGGGGCCAAGAGATTCCCTGGCCATCATAGGCGGAACGTGCTGGCTGGGTTGGCACAAAATGCCCAAACAAGCCGGGCATCTTCTCTGAAACCAGCTGCCAGTCTTTGCTCGCACGGCTGTGCCAAGCCACCCGGTTGGCATCAGGTTGGCCCTCCCTTGGCCCCGCCAGGAGCGGCAGTGCCAGGGCTGCATTGCTGGCCTCTCTCTTGGGCACGGGCACCCCCAGGAACGGCTCTGCCTGGGCACTAGGCGGCTGGTGGCATCAGGCCGCTCCGCTTCCCGCTCCCCGCTGCCCCCCGCCTGGAGGAATGTGGGGTAGGAAGCCCCCCACCCCGCTCCCTTTTCCTTGGCTCCCCTGGCACCTTCTCCCTCTGCCTGCCCAGTGAACCTGACCCAGGCCCACCCCAAGCTGGCTCCCTACCGGCCCCCCGGGCGGCTGCTCTCCCCACCACTGCTGCTCTCCGTACTCTTCAACTCGGCCCTGAGCCTCCTGCTCCAGCTCTTCGCCTTCCTCTGCGTGAAGCGGCAGGCCTGGTACTCGCAGCTGCGGGCCCACTGGTGAGTGCGCAGACACATCCGCCCACCCGTCGACACCCTACACACACACACACACACACACACACACACACAGGGGAGGGCCTGGGAGGACCTTCCAATGCAGGGACCTGGCCTGCTGCCCCTCCCCCCCACCCCGGTCTGGCCTGGCCTGGCCGGAGTGGCTCACGGGGAGCAGCTGGAGGGCCGGTGCTCAGGGACCCTCCCTGCCTCCCTCCTTCCAGCGGGTGCCCTTTGGGGAACCAGACCGCCTGCCCAGGCAACGGGACGGCCAACGCCACAGCGCAGGGACACCCCGTCCTGAGCTACGAGACCACCAGTCTCTGGCCCCTGGTGACCCTCAGCTGCATTGCCTTCGCCTTCATCTTCTCCAAGGGGAGGCCCTTCCGGAAGCCCATCTACACCAACTGTAAGCGAGGGGCCCCGCCCTCTCCTCCCCCCCTGGGCTGGCTTGGGAGGGGTGGGCTGGGCAGGAGGGAGGTCACTGTGGAAGCGACGTCAGGGAGACGGTTCTGTTGGGAGGCCCGGCTGCTCGGGGTGGGTCACAGGGAAAGAGAGGACGGAGCCGGAGTGAGGAAGGAGAACCAGGCAGGAGGTAGCAAAAGCGACTCCCACCTCGCCCCCCACTTGGCCCGGGAGGAGGGTGAGGGGGCCCAAGGTTTTCAGGAAGGCATCAGAGCACCGGTGACGTTACCCAAAGGACCCCGCAGTCCTCTCCTCCTCCTCCTCCCATCTACAGACCCTCCCCCTTCTAGCACTGATGGTGTTACCTAGGTGGGTCCTGAAACGTGTGTGAGAAAATGGCCAAGCTCAGAGAGCCCCCGAGGAGCCCCCACCTCGAGCCTGAGCTGCAGAGATTCTCTCCTGTTGATCTCTGCTTTCCACTGTTACCGGATTGTGGCTTGACCCACTGACTTAAGGGTGCTCATATGGCCCCCCCCCGGGCATTAGAGTTCCTATCCTGGGGAGGCCATTGGAGGCCAGTGACCCCCTTTGCTCTTTGAACTCCTCTCACCCCCCCCATATGGGTCTGATGCCCCATGTAACTGCCCATCCTTCCATAGGGCACCAGGCATTCCGCAGGACTGACAGGAGTCCCCCCTCTGCCTTTTCCACCCCCAGATATCTTCTCTGGCCTACTGTGCCTCCAACTGGGGGTTTCCCTCTTCCTCTTCTTTGCCGACCTTGAGGGGGTCTACCAGAGGATGGAGGTGAGCAGGCAGGGGGCCTGCCAGAGG